AAATACAGATAAAGCAAAAGTGAATTTTCAACTAATACAAGATAATATATAGATAAAGGGAGGGTGCGTCTCAAGAGTACAAGACCCCTTAACTCTGCCACCCATACCAGATATCAGGGTTTATAAGGATAAATCTGGTGGATCAGAAGTTCGTTTGCGCTTAAACCCTTGAGTTTCCATAGAATCTTGAGAAGTGATGTTTTGTTGAAGCTTCTTGATAAGTCCAGCAGCAGTATCTGCACATTTGAAGATCTCTCTAGTAGAATAAGATATAAAAGTCTAAAATAAACTGTCATCAAGAAAACCAAGAAGGCCATTGAAGATGTGATGGGAATTTAATAGACCAATGGGCTTATCATGAAATTTCATGTCTGCCCAAGAAGCAATTGTAAACATGGTCATTAAAGTGTCATATCCACCAGGAAGTATGATGAAAGCATCACTATGGTTCAACATAAACATAGTGCAATCATAAATAGAGTTAGAAAAGCATCAGACTGGTAGAATCTTTAAGAACTTTTGAAGGAGTTCTGTGAAATGGTAGAACAATTTTCACTTCAATATCAAAGCATTTTCCAGCCAGGAGAAGGCTACCAAAGAAAGCGAGGCTAGTTCCTCCATACAGTAAATTGATCTTTTGTTTTCCCAGTTCTCTTACTAGTTGGGATACAATATCAATATTTGGAGAAGAAGCTACAAGTTTAGGACCGCCAAGAACACATATGGTATTTATAGGTTGAAGAACCTTAGTAACTTGAGAAGACTCAGAAACCTCCATTTGGTGTAAAGAGATCATAAAGAATGATCGGTATATTTAAGGAGAAAGTTTATGAAGAGATAAATATTATATTGTTGCACTCTGATAGAAGCAACAGACAAGTAAGAAGTAAGCTGTAAATGAGCGTTATCTATCAGAAGGGATAAGATATTCAATACCTTATAATAAATATGGTTAACAGAGACAGTTGTAGCAAACAGGATCCTTAGCAACAATAGTTTCAAGACTATAGCGGTTTTGTTCATTTTTGAAACAGAACCATAAAGACATAAGTTCTCGATGCACATATCCACTAGGATGTGTCTCAAGAATCTGTTGGAGTGTTTGATCCATAGATTCTCTACTCAATCCATCCTTGATGAAAGCTATTTTATCTTCTCGATTTTTTGACACAAATCCTAAAGATGTACATCGTGTGTCACAATTCCAACGAGCACATTTGTAACAGCCGCCTATTCTTTTAGCTCTTCGTTTCTTGGCAAAGTACTTCTACCCATACCTGTCATATATTTGTATGCATTGAGAAACTCGCCAGATACTCGAACGTTTGCTTCAATCAACCATCGAATATCATTAGGGTTATTATGGAGCATTAACACTCTCAATCTTTCCACTCGAGATCGATAGATTTTTCTTATGATGTTAAGTGGAAGAAAGGAGTAAAAGTTGCGAATATTTGAAAGTGCTAGATCCATTTGTTATTCGGACCATTGCTGAAGATTGAAGGATCTACCGCGTCTGTTTATAGAACAATGACGCGTCTGAGATACGACTTCAATTTGTGTGTCAAGGAGCAAAATGAGTATGAAATAAGACCTCGGTTGTAAATTTAGTATTAAAATATGCCGAGTGGCTGAATACGTAACCAAAGTGTATTAGTGGCAGCCGAAAGA